AATGGAGATAATAAGTTACATTTCTTTTCAAAAGCGCGTTAATTCGAATTAAAAAAATATTTCACTACAATAGCATTGTTATAAATTATTCTTCTTCAAATATATTTCCTTTTTGTGTACTCAAAAAGTGAGTACACTACTAAAATCGGTCAGTGTGTCCAGCCGTTTATTCGATAACTCTTCATAATTACATTCGATTGAGTTGAAATTTTGTGCACAGAATTGTCTCGTCAATATCTAGGTCGAGTTCGAAGATGAGAATGATCCGTCAAGAAATGGATGAGTTATCGAAAAAATTGTCATTTTTGATTAGACCATCCCTGAGGCGGAGTACAGGGATTTTTCAAAAACGAAACCATTTCTCAGAACTATCCACAACATATATAAATCGACTCAGTTTTCAACGCTGATTCCGAATTTGATACTAGTTTTGAACTAAATCGTAGCTTTCTAACGAAACATCGCCTGAAAAAGGTCTAAAAATGCACAAAAACTGCATCCAGGAACCAAATTGCCTAGTTTTTCAATATCATTTTGGTGTTCAGACATTCTAGAATGACTCACATGTCCCATGCACTTCACATAACTCTCGGATAAAATCCAAAGTTTTCACATTTATTCCTTTTGTTTATCGAATATTCTTTCTTTTTGTTAACACCGAATCATATAAAATTAGATCGATATCTTCAAGTTAAACGAAAACAAGAATAACATGAATCTCCTTTTATTGAGTTCCCACAACAATTATAATAATAACAACAACAAAAACACATATTCCAAATAGGAAATAGTCTCTTATTTGCTTTAGGTTACCAAACGATACGTTATATAACGACCAGCTGTTTCCGATGTTCGAGTAATACGTACTACCTAAAATTATCAAATTAAATCTCACTTACGTTAGCATGATGAAAAACTTACTTGACCCCGTTTCAAACCAAAATATCGAGCAACAGGATCGCCATATTGAATACGTGGCAACTGACTTTCTTTCAAACGGCTACATTAAAAGAAACTTTTCGTATGTCTAAAACGAAACATGTATTTTCTTACTATCGTGCTAATAATTCTTGTTTCTCTTCTTGTGTTAATATGACATGTTTTGGAACAAGCTAAAACAAAATATTTTATTGTTTAATATTCTTTCAAAAACAAAATTAGCTTACATTATGTTCAGTGATATTAATTAATAGTTCACTTTCAAGAAAAACTTGAAATGAAAAACTTTTATTCTGCAATTCATTAATTAGCTTTAAAGAAAAAGCAATTCTTATAGCAAAAGTAGTAAAGATTTAATATATTACATACATCACGAGCTGCTGGTGTTAAACCAGTTTGTACAACAAGAATTGAATGTGGAATACTTTCTTCTTGCATTTTTTTAAAATAATCTTTTATTCTATCGACACCAATCTTTGGTTGATCAGGAAATTGAACAATCATTGTATCTGTTGGATCATCATTATGAGCAACCATTACTATTAATTGAGATCGTGCTGGTTTATTTTCACTAGAAAATATGTTCGTAAGAAAAGATCTTACTTTGTCTTTCAAAGTAGAAATAATTTACCTTGGTTTATCACCAAAAACAGCCTTGAATTGATCAAGTGTTTGATCAAGTTCATCTTGACTTACAAGATAACCTCGATCATGACACATCTATGAAAATAGAATAATACAGAAATTTCGAAGAGAAAAAATTGTAACACGAGTGTAAGTTCACATGCAATCCATTTGATAGCGACATACGTCAAAAAACTTTTTTTTTCGAATTAAACAATAGCACGACTTTTCAAAAGGAATCAAAAAAATTTGCTCCATTAAGTTATTCTACCTGTAGAACTGTCTTTCGAATACGCCATAATTTGTAAGTTTCAGCTTCATCATCCATTTTACTGTGTTCGTTTGAACAACTGAAATACAATAGCCGCTTATACGTTGAGTTTGATTGGTTGATCGTATCCACCAATAGATATCGATGGATTTTATACTCCATCTCGTGTTTCATTTTAACCAATCAAATCGCATTCCACATATACCTGTTTTCTATCTTCTTGTCATTTTGTATTTTCTGTGGTATGGTCCCAAAATGATGCGACAGTCTGTGCATACACACATATACAATGATCAATAAACGACCGAACCAACATAGCTTTTTTCGTTTTGTAGTGATTAGAAGATTCCTTAGTAGAGATAATTAAAATTATAATGTACGAATCCAAAACACATGGTTTTGGTTTAACCGTTTTTGCAAACGATCTCGATCTTTTTCTACATCAATAATTTAAATTTAGTGCAGAATTGAGAAGGAATAAAACATTCGCAAGTAGAATCAACAAGATAATAAATTTTAAGGAGTGCAATAATTCATTAAAATTGCTCAAATGAATTATTTCAAAATGTAGTTTTATCGGTAGTTTCTTTCAAAATATCAATTTTTCGTATGACTTGTAGCGTGAAAGATTTTTGAAACATCACTGAGTTCATACGTTTAATAAAATTGGAACCAGCTTTATTATTACTGACTCAACTGAGCAGGATATCATTAAACGAATTTGGCTTCACATATAGTTTCTCAAGAAGTGCTGTGAAGTCTTATTATTTGTAGAAAAAATGTGAACAATCATTTTTGTCCATAGTGTGAGCGAAATTTTCATTTAAAAGTTGAATATTCTGTAACTTATTTAACACTCAAATATGTCTATTGAATTTCTGATTGCTACATTCTCAATGTAGATAAATTTCAAATATTCATTCGTTTTACATTTTTTAATTCATGAAGATAGCGTCCTAATCAACATCACATTTGAAGCATTCAAGATCAATATTTTCTTATTCATGTCATTATATTGCCATGTTTGGATTTTCAATGCGGTATCTCAATTGCCTCTAAAATACACGCGCTTCATTGTAACCATGCGTGCCCTTGAACCTTTTTAATAACTTATGTACACGACTTATAAGACATCAAATAGGAGATCATTTTTAAAAAATTCTTTAGCTCTAGATTCTATTTTATTAAAGCAATGTGTTTTTCCCAGATTAATTTTCAATTGGAAAAGAAATCCTAATCATTTTTAAGAAACATTCAATACAAACTCTGTTTCGAAAGATAATTGAATATTAATCAAATAACTCATAGTTTATTCTCTATTTAGCATTTTTCTTCTCTCTGATTAGAATCCCATTCTTCTTCGTATTCGAATATATCAGTTTCATATTATGAAGAGCAATATTCTTTACATCACAAGTCAAATGGCACAAAAAGAAACAGCAGTTATTGCTTTAGTTTCATTTGAGTCACAAATATAATTTTCTCGTAGATAAGAAACAAAGTAAAATTCTTATAATCATTTACGATTTCGCATGAAACTTGATGATGTTGGGTTTCGTCAAGAACAGCTACTATCTTGCATCTCAATATCGTTCTGCTATGTCTACGATGAAATAGATACATGCGCATGTTAATATATATTCTAAGCGATAGAAAGAGCTAGCTAAGTCTTAGTAACAAGAAAAATAAGAAAGATTTATTTCCAACATTAGCTGTGATTTTATCTGATCGAGCTGAAAATTTTCTTCAAGCTGCTCTGCGAATAATTAATGATGAAAATTATCAGCAATTTCTCGCACATATTGTTATTAATCAAGCTACTCAATATGACTTATTCAAAACTAATATTCATGCTTGTTTGGCATGTCAAGAACTTTTTCTTATTTAGACTTTCATCTGTGTAATATTTAGGATATCAGAAAACTTATCAATAAGTACTTACCAGAAGATATTCGCTATGTCGCGCATGGCACTATTAGTTAATACTGGTAAACGGAATGATATGAAAGAGAACTGGAGAATGTGTCAAGTGTTCATAAATTGTTCAACAAATGAAACATTAAATTTTAAACAAATTTATTCGAGTCTTAGTCATATTATAAATGATCCGAATATTTTCCTGAAAGATTTCCTTGGGTCACTTGATAGAATTTTCAAAAAGAACGAAAATGTTTGATACGATGATCGCGTTTTTATGAGTTCTTGATCAAATAATCTATTTGATAATGTAAAAATTTGCCCTGTACTTGTACATGTTCTATAGTGAGTACTCACTTTAACACCATAACCGATTTTGATGCACAACTTCAAAATTTAACTATGCATGATGTTGGATTTTGCTATTATACGGAATTATAATAATCGAGATCATGACGCTTCAATAGAGTATTTCCTTGGCACATTATGATAACATCGTTAATGATTCAAATCTTCTGAAATAGCGTTACCTTTCGTAAAATCTATCTATTGATTATAGCAAGATTGGCTATTTTCAAATGTTTTACTTTAATGTTCCGTCAGTCTTGATTTAAGTTCAGACACGCTGCTTTTTAAATAATTCGTGCATATGCAGTTTTTGATCGGTAATTGATGAAGAAAAACAGTTAAATGACGCTCATGCAATAAAAACCTCATGAAAATCGGCGGTTTAACCGTGGTTTTACTGGTCAGATTACCGGCTCCCATACCAGAGTAACTTACCGCAGGAAGGATAAATACCGCGGTTTACCGCAAAAAAGGATCCGGTATTCGTAGCACGGGAGTGGACAGTAATTTTTAAGAAAGATTTTCAGCAAATTTACCATGAATGTTCTCAAGATAATGTAAAATCAACTGCTGAGATTTCTTCGTCGATGGATGAAGCAGCAAAATCAGTATGGCAGTGGCTTGCATATATCAACCAACACTGCATACAAACAGTTGCCATATGGTCTAATGTGTTATTGAGTATCGATATTTTTCTTTAACCAGCAAATATTTCAATATCTATTCTACATAATAGGTAATTTATCAAAACGTTCAGAAAGATATGATATAATTTTCTAAAAAAACATCACAAAATTATTTTCTCAAGAAATCCCATGAAATATTTGAAAAGAAATATTTAAAAATAAGAAACTAATTTCATTAATAATTTATTAGAGAGAAAAATCAGCAGACAAAGTCTCTACAATGGGTTTTGTAGAAAATAGTCCGTAAGTGCTTGTCTAGCATCAACACCACTTGTTGTTTGCATTTTACAACGTGACTTTTTATGCGTTGGGAGTGGCAAATCCCACTCTATTTCCAATTCATCACCATTCATTAGACATAAATTGCGAAGAATGCTCACTCGCTCGACTGTTGATCGACAGCGACTTAACTGATAGTTGTAAATTACATGACTGGGAGGCATCTTAGGTGTAGATGGATAGGGTTTCATCAATGTTTTGTGCAATGCAAAGCCAGAGTCATCGATTATATGCACCTGTGTCTTCACGTTGTTTATCTTCATGTAATGATTAGCGTATCTTGAGCGTTGAATCACTTCTGCTAATTGAGATCGCCGATAAACCAATGAGTCGTTACAACGACCATGAGAGTCAACATTTACGTATGTTAGTTGTAAGGAAGCATTCACTACCGCCAATAGGATAACAAAGTGATGTTTCTTATAATTAAAATAGTCGAACTCTTCTCCGTTCGGTGGATTTATGCTTATGTGTGTGCCATCCAAATAGCCGGCACACATTGCATAACCATAATTATCCAGGAAATCTCCAATTGTACGTTCAATCTCATTATCAGTTTCTGGAAATCGAATAAACCGATTAAAAAAGCTATCTACCAACGTGGAGCAAAAACCGTGTAGAATTTCTCCTGCCGTATTGCGACCTATACTAAAGAGATTAGCAGCCGTACGTAGCTCACATGTTGAACTAAGCAGATACAAAGCGCAAGCTACTCTTTTTTTCAATAGGAATAGCTTGCCGTAGAATCGTATCTTTCTTCTTTAAAACAGTACCAATGCGATGAACTAAATCAGTAAACGTTGATCGGTGTAGCCGATTTTGCCGTGTAAGTTCATATTCAAGGCGAAGATTCGTAATTTCACGACTTAATCTTTGTTTTTTTTAATAAATACAATTGAATAGAACCAATTAGTGTCTGAAGATCCATCTAAGAAAACAGACCTAGATTCTTACTAGCACTGAAATCATTAAGTCATAGTGATTCGTCCAAGTAAGATACTGTCAAAGTTATTCATGTTTTTGCAAAAAAGTACTATTGAAAATTCAACTGATATTTATCTTAAAACTGGAACCTAATAACAGAAACGTATCTCTATAGACCTTTACCATAACTGTTTACGAAACAGCAATGAAATCGTCAGAGAAAAATTGTTACAAAAGAAAAATCAAAGCAAAAAGATATCAACATGTACAAAACATAAATAAACTATCTTCAACGACAAATACAAAAAATTTCGTTTAAACTTCATCGATTTGAAGTCATATTATTCATCATGCCCTTGAATACATTTAAGAATTCGCGTTCATTGTTAAGACTTTCTTCTTGAAGTCGCGTTTGTTTTTCGAGAATTTCTAACATTTTCACTTCTGATCGAAGCATAGCTTCATTGGCACTATCGATTTTTGTAAGGAGCTGTTCTATCAATCCAATTCTATATGTAAAATCAGAAACATTATCTTCTAGTGAACATTTTAGAACTTTGATTACTTTATTTCCGATGTTTTTTTCTTTCGTTTTTGAGTTGGAGTACCTCGTCTTGATGATGCGTCTATGTTTGTAGTTGTAGGGGTATTCATTGCTGAAGTAGATATACTACCCTCAGGACTTGAAAGATAATTGGAATTTGATCGAGCAGGACTATTTATTTCTTCAGCATTTGCGTGGGATAAACACGAATCGTCAAGTTGTTTAGCCACTTGCATCAAAGTCGTAGCCGGTATTTGAACATTATTAATATCATCCGAAAGTTTTTCTTGCTCGATGATCATAGAATCAGTCAACAGACTATCATTTTTATGTGTTCTTTTCCCTAAAGAAATTATATTAGTCTATTAGGTAACTCAGAGAATGTAAACAACTGAAGCTCACCGAGAAGTTTATCCAGCAAATCGAAATACCGCCAAGTGCATGGGCTAGCACCTTTTTCCCCTTGTTCTTTTGCTTTTCGGCGATACTCTGTTGTTAAATTACCAATTTTCGCTTTGACATCAGCTGCACTAACATTTCTATCTTTAAAAGTATCGTTCAGTTGATTGGCCATCGATTGATATATAGTACTATGTCTACAACTAGCAGAGGTTAGTTTTACATAATTATCACTCCATATTCCAATAAAAATGATAGTTTCATGTTCCGACCAGTTTTTAGTCCGCCTGATACATTGCAAATCTATGAGAGAAAACTCTGTGAACTATAAGAAAGAAAATACTGACTTACTAGTTTGCTCTGTTTTCGTGTTTGATTTTTTTCTATTGCGTTGCTTCTTTTTTGCAGATGGTGATAAATTTCTTTTGTTCTTTCCACTTGAGACTTGAACGTTTGATGTATTCGTGCTTGAACCTGAAAGAAGAATATCGTTATTAAATTCTCGAACTTCAAAATAAAGTCTCTTTTTCATTTCACAGAATTCTTCTTTCCGTTTAGAAAAAATGTCTTATCAGTTAGTAAAAATATTTCGATGGATTTGAAGACAATGCAGCTAAAACAGTAGAAAAAATTCTTTTACTCAAATTCTTCGTTGGTACAACTTCCGATAGGTTCGATTCACCAGATGCAGTTTCGACGATTGACAGTGATGTATTCTGACATGGTTCAGGAGCAACTGAGCATGTTGTTGAATCTTTTATGTTTAGTGCTGAAGATATAAACATATGTTTTGGTGTTATAATAGTTGGTGAACATGTGAAACTATTAAGAACTAGAACAGAAGAAATATTTTATAGTATGTTGTTGTATGTTTGAGTAGAAATTCGCGTCTACTTTTAGATGAGCTATTAATCTGATAGCTCTTGTCAGAAGAGAAGACAAATCGAATATATTGAGGTCTGATCATCTGAAATAAAGATAAAACACGAATATTTTGTATTTTTTCATTAAAATGTGACTGACGCTACCATAATAATAATAGTTACTTCGAACGTCAACCAGGATCATGGCGTTCACTTCACTCGCATGTATGTTCCTCAACGAAAAAAATCGACACTTATCGGCGCCACTAGTGTTTTTTTCATTGATTAAACGTTTTGAAATTCTGTTGGCGAATTAGCTTTAAGTCATCTCAAAACAAGAAGAAAAGAAAACAAACATGAATTATAGGCGTTATCCATCGGCGCCATCTAATGTGAAATACAACGGTTAGAGGAATCATGCAACATGTCACAATGGCGATTTTCTCTGTGTACATGTTGAAGTGAAGTGTGAGTATCTTATCTATCTCAATACTCGATTCATATTATACACATACATCATTGATCTGTTCAAATGACTAGCAAAACTTTATCAAGTACAAAGAACTCCCCATTATTAAATCAAATTGATGAAGGAATAAATTTCGATAGCAACGATTGGAATAAAAATACTTTCCACACATTAACTGTATGTTTAATTTGATACATTTTTTGTTTTTGAAATTCTTCTTTTATGATTTCTATTAGACATCAAATTTATCACCAAAAACAATATTTTATTATGCAATTGACGTAGGTTTTCGACGATTAGAAAATAGTTTATACGAATCTTATTGGGATGAAACAGCCGATGCATTACACGAGTAAATTTTTTTAATTTCATTAAGAGAAAAATATGAATCTTTAATTATCTCTTATTTTAGTTTAACTCAATTTTTATTCAGTCAATCCAGTGATAACGACACCGATGGTTATTTATATGAAGCTAAATGTCAATTATTAATGTATTCAGCAATCGCAATAATTAAGATGAATACTATTGTAAGTAATCATGTTTTTTGTTAGATACGTTAAAAACAAAACATTCTAGAGACGTCGATCGATCCATGATGCAAAAATGGCATGTGCAACATTGTTTTTACTATTATTAGAACGAAGTAAATCTTATGAATTACCGTCGATTGTAAACGAATCTTCATCATGTACACGTTCTATGCATCGTCGATATTTAAAACGAATATTTATTATTGGTAAATATATTTTTGTAGTTCGATTTTCTATTGGATTTATTTATTTAGTTCAATCGTTATCAACTTTATCGAAAATACAATTGAATGATATGCAAACAAACTTTGAACGATATGTAAGTTTGAGAAAAAAATTGAGTTTTATGATTGAAATTGTTTTTATAGACTGTCTTACTTGTAAATCAATTATATCCAACAGATCATTTACAAGAGAAAATAAATAATTTTATTGATAAAAATTTATTTGGAAATAATCTCGATGATGATAGTGCATCAAGTGATTTTGTATTTATTCGACAATTTCCAATATTTAATGAAGACTCAATTGACAAATACAATGATCTAATGAATATGTGTCTTGTTAGTACATTTGATCAATGTAAATATAAAAAAAATCTATTTTAATTAAACCATAAAAACACTTGATAGTCTAGTTGAAAGATGACCCTAGAACATAGTGGCTGTTATAAATATCGAAAATTTTAACTAACACAATATTCTGCATTTCGGTATCATAGACGTGTCAGACATAAAAACATAATTATAAATGTCACCTTTATTGTTTACCAACTGTAAATGAAATGTCCCATTACATTGATAAGATCATATTGAGGATGAGGATATTTTTCGGGGAACATTCAACATGTGCATATATCCAATATTTAGTAGTTAATGTAGTTTTGCTCGATTTGAAAGTATATTCATCCTGTACGTCGCTTTCTACGATCCAGCGAGAACTAAGTCCCCTGTTTAGAAAAAAACTCAATGAATTAAATTTTAGTTAAAACAAATTTTGCACGAAAATTAATTTGTTATATATGGACATTATGCTGCATGATTGAATCGAATCGAGTATCACTTGGAAGTAAGTATTTGAATCAGATCAAAATTTTATATAGAAATATTCTTTTCCCAGTGATTCGTTGTAGTGCAATTTGCGAGCATTTTTCACAAGCATCGATTGATTTTGAACAAAAACCAATTCAAAGCGAATCATTAAATGAACTAGACGTTATCGTAAATAATATTCTTTATGAATGATATCATACGAAGTCATTTTTTTGTTGTTGTTATCAAGGTCTTTCTTTTACTATGCGCTCAACAAAATGTACATATACATGTTGGGGATTCGACTTTACATCCGTATTTACTTTTTTCATTGTCTCATCTATGCACACAACAACAAAAACGTTGGTGGCAAACAGCTATGGAAAAAACGTAAACATCAAAATCAAGTATACGAAAATTTTATTTGTTGTCTCATTATAGTCAATGGAATGAATTTAATGATCATCTTGCAACAATACGTCTCTACGACGAACGAACATTTCAACATCCACCAATGTTTGTCATACTTGAAACAGCTTTAATTCTTTTAAAATCGGTAAAACACATAGGAGTCATTTTCAGTTGTCTTCATTTAACTTTATGAATGATATCGAGAAGTTTCAAATATTTCGATCATAGTATTACTCTCGTCTGTAATTCTGCTTTTTTTGCAAGGCTCAACATTTGTATGAACAATGTGCGAAACGTGTTGCATCATCTTATGAACAATACGGATTACGATACCTGCAAGTAGCTAAAAGAAGTCCACATAATCAGTAAAGCATAGATAATGAAATCATGAAAAAAACATTTTGTTTGTTGCTTCTTTTTAGAAGATTATCTGATTCACTTAATAGAACAATTACTCACGGAAACAAGCAAGATAAATTATTCTTCTTCTATTCCCAAAAGACAACCGGTACGGAGCAAAGCAAAATAGAAGAATTAATTGAAAAATGCGAAAAACTTGTTCAAAAATGTGACGAATTAAAGGTAGGCATCAATTTCTGCTTCGTATGTGGATCAATCATTTTTACTCATCTTTCTAATATAGTTATTGCCAGAGCAAGAACCACCAAGAACATCGAGTCCAACTGAAGAACAACAACAAGGTTTGGATTCTACTAATAAAAAATTTGCAAAGATTCATTTTTGAATTTATGTATTTAGATATTAATATCTCAGCTGCATTGAGTCCGGTTGCTGTCGAAAAAACAGAACGGAAAAATTTAGAGGTAAATATATTGGTTTTAAAAATAATGTCAAGATCAGAGAGTCGTTCACTTTCGTCACAGATCTCATGAGTCGGTTACAGACTGATTAGAAGTTTTTCATAATGAAAGTTTCACGAAGGAAAGCTACTATTTTAAACGAAACTTAAAAATGACTAGGGAGCTCTCATGGCTATTCAACGGATATATCTGCCTTAGCTTATATAACAAGATAAGGAAATCATTTTTCTTTATCAAATCTTCAAAGGAAGATGTTAGATCTTATGTGTGGAGAAAGAATTTTAATTGGCTTGTGTTTCATGTAACAATAATTGAAATAGTCTATATATGAGCATTCGCATTTTTCAGTGAATTTTCAATTGCTGCACAAAATCAGATCCCTCGGATATCTATATAAATAGGAAAACAATCGTTAAATTCTACTATGCTTTTAGATTACAGATTCAACATTATTTGCTACACCACCAACACATAAGGCAACGCGTGATGTTGATGTACAAACATTCATACAATCACCATCACCGTCTCCACCTCCACCCATTGTTCCAGTGGTACCGATTGAAGAAACAATCGAAACATCGGAGCCACCATTGCCAGCATATGTCAATATGATATTTTCTCATATGAATGGTGTTAATCAATGGATAAATAGATTTTGTTTAGATAGTGAAATAATTCAAAATGATATTAATATAATACGAGTAAATTAATTTAGTTCTTTTTTTTCTTGGAACATAAAACAAAATAAATTAATATTTATTGATTTTGTTTTTCAAAATAGGATCGTCTAGAAAAAATCAATCGAGTAACTACTCAGATGATGTTTTCTAATATGAAAGTATCACCATCAGAAACAAGTGAAAATTCTGGTGGCTTCTATTCATCATCACATCATGGATAATATACAAAATGGTGTCGTTTTCTTATTCTTCTATCGCCATATGTGTTTTTTCTTTTGTATTATAAACATCATTTATGAACTTGTATAAACAGATAAACGTTTAATAAATCATTTCGATAAATAGACATCTGTATTTCAAGGAACGCCTCACAGATACAACGACTGCAGGTGTGAAAAAATATTTGACAATCGGCTGAAACATTTTCCAGCAATTATAGTTTTTTCAGGAATAAAAAAGTTTCTAGGTCATTAAAACTTCCGCATGTTATTTAGCTAGTCCGTGGGTGGGTAGCCTAAAATGATACGATGTATGAAGTGATATAATCCAAGGCATTTTCAAATGACATTTTATAACCTTATTATTGATTGGATTTCATCAATGTGTTATATTTAGTATGGCAGGGGAAATTCTTCAGATTTTATTTTTATAAATGCATTGTAAGAATGCTCGGACAATTAATTACTTTTTAGCTGAAACCAGAAGCATGTTGCATTTTGCTGGTTTCATCGTAATCATTCTTTTTTCGTTACTTCAATTTCTTGCGTTACTCTGGTCTTCTGGACTCTCGAGTCATGAAAAGCTCTTTTATACAAAATTAATTTTTGATGTATCTTTATAACATAGATTCAATTGATATCAGATCTATTTTCGAGTGACTATAAAAGAAAACACTCAAGGATCATAATGAAACCATAATAATAGTGCACGTTTGTTTTTCTGTTTTCAGAGTATCACTCTTATCTATTCTACAGAACAAAAGTCAGTTAATCAAAGGTTTTCTTTGAGTAGGTAATCTTAGTAACCTTTATGATTTGTTAGAAAGTTTAATTTTCAACAAAACCATTCAAATTCTAACCACCATTTATTAGTTATTAAAATATAGATAGGATGCTAAGAGTCATAAAGATCAAAAACTATTTGTGTCTAATCGAATTTTCCCAAACGCTTAACTATTGAGGATTTTAATGATTGTTTAGATACTGAAACTAGAACATTTTCGAAATCTCAGTCAAACTGTAACAATGGATCAAATATTCTTTTGAAACATCCAACTAAATTTTCACAATTCTATTCGACAGTACCGAGACTCTGCATATTGAGTTGAGTCACGCTACCCTGTTTCAAGTATAATTGAATCATTCATATTGAAAAATCTTAGATTCAATTCTTCGACGAAAAATCACCTCTTTAATCTACGTCGCCGAACAAATTACACTATATGTTGGCTTTACTCTTTTTATATTGGGTGTCTTTGGCAGTATCAAGATTATATTAATATTTTCACAGCATCAACAGTATCGCACAAGACCATGCACATTCTTCTTTCTGGTTGGTTCTGTCAATGACTTCCTTCTTATCCTGATTCTTATAGGCTTACGCGTCGTTAGTGTTGGTTCTGGCATCGACTTGGCTCACAGGGTGTGGGTGTGGGCAGAGGCGTAAGCCGACGGCTCAAAATCTTTAAATTTGGGTGTGGGTGCGGGTGTATGATGTGCACCGAAATTCTAAATAGATAGTTTCTTGACAAAATTTAATTTCATCATCTGTAAAAGTAAAGTCAATATTTCAACTCGAATGCTGCGCTGTTGAAGAAAGTAGTCATTTATAAACTTTTCTTTTCTTTTTAAAAAAGAAGCTTCTATTGTACAATATAGATATTAACTTTATTTACCATCATAACTATAGTTATGGTCTCACCGCGATGTCCACATCCACACTGAATTTCACCCTCTTATATAAGATGTGTGATGAAGCATTCGTTTTAAGAAACATGCCAAGCATTGTTTTCTTTCAGTGCAAAGCCAAGAAATTATTGTACATGGTAGTTGCATTACTGCCCATGCGCTTGATTTATGGTGGTTTCTTACAATATATACACAAGAAAATTTTCGTCGAACATTTGATTATATATAATTCACAACAGCAGAACACGAAAGTTTTTCATTCCTTTATACTACCAATAATCTTTTTTCTTTTCTGTTTTTATAAATTTTACTCCTGTTGTACTTAAAACTAATCCATGTTAAGACTGTACAAAAAGTGACCAACAAATGTTGACCTAGATTATTTCCGTAATTCTCGGATCTCTTGAAAACTAATCAAGAATGGTTGACTTCTTACTCTTCAATCTTGTAAATCGTATTCATGCCCTATGAGCTTCATGTTGTTTTGTTAATAGAATCTACATTTGTGTATCTGTTGCAAAGTTATCATTGGTGATTATTTGCAACTCTTATCATTTCCTAAATATCAGCTGTCCTAGATAGTCCAGTTGAACTACCTAGATTCATGTAAACTTATAGGAATGCTAAACAGTGTCGTAAACCTAATACAGTAGAATTGAATTGATGCTGTAATTTAGATGACGATGACTTATTATTGCGTGTACAAGAGAGCAATCATTTCCATCTCTGCCCATTAATCTAATGGTATCCGTCCTTGGTCATATTAACACGATTGTTATATTGATGATGATAAAAAAAATGACACGAAAAGAACTAATGAAATAATTGTTCAGGACAAAATGCAGACTCAAATTTTGAAATAACTTAATTTGAAGAGTTGCCTTCGTCATCAATTCATAAACAAAAAAATACTGCCTTAGAAATTTTCTTTTATTCATATTTCGAAGTAAAAATGAATTCATAAATATTGATGCAAACTCATTATGTTGAGAAAAAAACAGCCATACATAGGGTGAAAGAGAACTCGTGACATATCGATTTTATCAGCAGAAATCGCAAATGTGACAGTGCATTGTTAATAAAGAAGAATGCAGACAAAGTATATTCTGTGAAGTATTCTCGATGTACTTTGAATCACTAGCATGTTTTCATTGTTTATGTATGTATTACCACTTGGTAAAAGTACAAGGCATTTTTCATAAAGACATTTACATCGAAGAAACAGAACCACTGCATTCACTCTATGTTTGTTTTTGTAAGGTATACGTCGAAAATAATTTGATACCGCACACCCTTGTCCAGCATAGACTAGAATATAGTTTCTGCATAATAGCTCAATGGTCGTTACCATCAGCTTGTGTAAGTTTGTTCTGTCTACATATACTTTCATGTCTATTAAGGACTGCTTTTGTACTGTTACTTTGCATTTTATCGATTGCTCCTGGATTCTAGTAAAGAGATGCCAGGGCGCCAAACATTATTGGATGGGTTTTCTAGGTAGCAAAAGAAAACAATAAATATAGCAACAGCATTTAGATCATTCTGTAACACTATATGATTTCTAAATATTCAGTGCTTTAGTTTCAATCATGTATCAAATAGGATTTTTTCGTCAGTGTAAAACAATAAATTGGTGATATTATTAATAAATACAATTGGGAGAAATAAACCCACAACAGACGGCTTTCAGTATTGAATACAAATGTTGATCGAGCAAGAAGATTCTGTGTGAAATAATATACTGATACCATTAAAAATCGATGTTTTTATCGATTTGATACGCCAGTTAAACCTAGGAAACCAAGAGTGAATTAAAAATTGATCACATCTTGCGACATACGTCATATATATTATCATTATAGGCGAAAAAATAATTCATTTCGTATTGCGTTAATTTATGACAGTCAGAGATTGTGTGGGTTACATATAGCAGTTTGTCAGAATGTCCTATTGGCAAGACTTTTAGTCGAGGTCAATTTTATAAAACAGAATTCTGACAGATTTAAACCGAATCTTTAGACAGCAGAATGACAATGTGCTTGTATGCAAATTTTATTTGACAGGTACACTAGACATACTTGACCGAAAAAATTAAAATGGAATTCCGGAATAAAAACCTGAGACTAAGCTGCAGCCAGGACGCAAGCCAGTTCATGTACTCTATATAGAGTTGTAATTTTTCAACTTGATATAACTTTTTTCCAATTTTTCATTGACGAAACGATATTGAAAAAACTGTCATATATTGCATCCTTATAACAAAGGATGATGCGAAACGCAAACAGAAGTCAATATTATTTGCCTAATATTTCTGTCTGCTACAATTGCGCTACCCAGGTTGATCAAAACGGACTCGTTTACAGTCTGCTGATCGACGGTAAACGATGTCAAAACGGTATATTTACGGCAGTAAATAGGCCGTATTTGCTCGTAATACCTGACACAGTAATACGGCACCGTAAACGGGACTGAATTTTCATAGTTTACGGCTGCTTGTGCTCCGTACTCTCATGATCATACGGTCCGTATGACTACGCCAGATATTACGGCAAACTTTCGCCCGGAAAATAGTCGTAAAGTAACCTTAAGCGGCCGTCTACGGACCGTACTGTTCGACCTGGGTAGTTTATTTTATCAGTATGGAAGTTTAATTTCACCGAATACTTTGAGGAAGCGTTAAAGTAATACCATGAAGTCTCTTTATTCAGAAATTATTGGTTCCAGATTAATTAGTATGAGCTACACAACAGTAGTTAGAACTAAAAAGGGCGTTTCTATCAATGTAGAAACAACTTACTTTTGTACTTTTCCACTCCACGAGTATTGAAATACTTTTCATTCGTCCCTTTGGTTTATATTGGCAACCAATAGAATGAGGAAACAACGGAGTTCTTTGGAAATATTGATTTTGTTAAACTCATACGTAAAATACAATTAAATTACTAAATTATGGTGTGATATGAGTTACAGTGTGATTCTTGAATGTATGCTTTCTAGAAGCGTGTTTTCCCTTCGGAAATGCCGTCGTGAATTCAATAAGAAAAATTCTTCGGAGAAGTCTTCCGGAAAATTTCTCTCTCTCTTATTTGAATGATTTTAGTGGCTGTAGATTTTTTCGAACAAAGCTAAAAATGCATTGAATCTATTCTTCTTTTTTACAGAATAGCAGCAATCGATAAAAGATATTTTCTTTATGATAAAATAATTCCATATTGGGTAGTTACTGAGTAAAGTAGGAATTAAAATTTTTGACCTCATCTATCAAAATCGTTTGTAACTTCAACAAAGTGATAAAGAAATCGATAATTTGCCTGAAGATAACAGCCAGTGTCATGTTGAGGAGTAGCTAAGAATGGTTTGAAAACAGGAAAAGAAAAATTAATCAACTTTTAATCATCAATTCTTTCACTCATGTTTCTGATTTGCGTATTCAGTAATATTTTATAATGTGCCCTATAAATTTTGAAGGAGTTTACTGAATTGCATACACATTTATTGTCTAACACTGTTTTGTAGAAAATAGAAAATAGAAAAATTCTGATTCATTTCCAATGGAAGATCTTCACACAGTTTATGTCCTGAATAAACGCATTGAAAAATTGCGCATGCGTGCATTCAAACTGACACACGATGACTCACGACGAGCCATACAGTTTGACTGGGTCGTACTTCAACAGTTGGATGATATCCGAACTAGTTTAGACGGAATGGCGCGTACACGTGGTACAAATGTCAAGCGTCGTTATTCCTATAAAACACTAACAGCTGCAATGCAACATTCAACTATAGATGCGATTCCAATACTCCTCGTTCCACCTAAATTCAAGATCACGACTATGATCATAGGAGCGAAAGTGACAGCTTTCAAAATGACACCAGCATGGTTTAAACTTGATGATGAAGCGAAAGTTTTGAAAAATATCATCTATCCAGCTAATATTGCCAACAAGCGTCCTTTTAATACCATAGCCCGTTATCGAGCAGTAATTGGGAAAACAAATGACTTTAGTCATGAATCACTTTTGGTAAGCGACGATCAAACAGAAACTCTCGTACTTGCACTAGATGCGTTCGCTCGGCAATTTGGTGGTGATTTAAGCTTTACGAATGAAGATCTGTCATTTGAAGAGAGTGCACATTGTACTGCCTGTGGAGTAGCTAATCTAAGCAGTGCTCATTTACTCGCTACGAATTACGTTCCAACAGCTAAACTTACCTTTGAAATTGGCATAGCTTACAAGGAACTTGCAAAATCAGAAGAAACTATGCAAAATTTTGCCATGAGTTTTGTACAAGCGATTGTGGACGTACTTAGCTGTGAAAATGATTATATTCGTATTTTATCTATCAATCTATCTAGTAAATCAAAGGGGCAAGTTGAAGTCAGCTTTGGTATTACCACGCCAAGCCAAGAGAAAACTGAAGAATATGTGCGAATCTTACAGGTAGAATAATTTGTGATGTGAATGTGATGAATTGCAAACGTGGCGGAAATCTGCGATAAAATATATGATTTAGTGCTAATTAAAACTTTTCTCTCATCTTTAGGAGCATGCTCGTTCTGGTTTCCTCAATAATAAGATTCTGCGACTTGTCAAACCATCCGAATACGAATGTACGTGGTCATCAGTTCTATCATTTCTGCAGTTGCGTCCAGAAGATTTCGATTCGAAACACAATTTTGATTATCGACAACCTGACTTACCTGAAAGTCTGACGCGTGGAGGCTATCCTTATTATTTGCCTATGGGCTGGTATCGTCATGCCATTAAAGTAAATAATAAATACGGGGATGGAGATGCTTGGTTAGGCTCTACAAATGCTCCAGGTGAGTGGCCTGTTGCTTTTCATGGAACTCATTCTGGTGCGGTGAGTGGTATTACGGCACAAGGTCTTCTCATTAAAGTTGTCCAAGTCGATCTTAAGAGACCAGAAGCTATTGAACAGATGGGAGAGGCAGCTGATAAGCCAGGTCTTTACCTAGCAACGCACTGCAATGGTGGTTCGCATTCAACTTATACAAGACCATTCGATGTACAAACGTCGCAAGATTTAACCAAGAGCTTCCGAGTAGTATTTCAGTGTCGTGTAAAACCAGGCACCTTCACCACTCATAAAAGCCCTGTCAAAGTTGGTGATGCATGGAGAGTTGTTGACCCAGATGCAGTTCGACCTTATGGTATCCTGCTTAAAGATGAAGAGATAACAGTACCAGATTGAATGATTTCGAATCAGAATGAACTCAAATAATGGGGAGATAATAATCCACTATTCAATTTTTACTTTTATGTTTACATGGATTACGTTTCATTTCATAAACGGATAATCTGAATTCATCATAAAAAATATATGATCGATTGATCAGTTTAAAATTTAAATATTTACAACATAGTTAGATACACTGAGAGGTACAGCAATGACTAGCAGCTTTTTTTTATTGATTTCGATCAATATATATTATTTTTCATGAGCAGTTTCTGCAAGTACAACATATTTCAGACAACAGTTTTTAAATCAGAACCTATATACATGACACCAATGGTATAACTTACATTGAAAGTAAGCTGAACGTAATATTGTAAAAGTTCATCGATTTCAGACAAAAGACATAGAATTGAACAAGGCAATGGTCTTTATTTCGTATTTTATCAAAAATTCTGTTAAATTAATTGTAAACACGAGCCTCTTTATTTTCTGAAAATTTTAAAAGTCAGCCAGTAAAACTTGAAAAATGTTCATGATAGAAGAGTTTTGAGAGTTACCTATTATGAATTTTTGAATTTCTTTTTTCGAAATGTTGATCATGGCATAATTGATTAGAAAAAGTAGAACTACTTAAACAAGAGTGCATGTGCTTGAAGTTATTACATAGTTGTTCACAACTTTCAAATTTCCATCACCGGCATTGGTAAACTGAATTCCTTTGATTTGTTGTTGATCGTATTCCAACGTTTTTTGATGAATACTATTTAAATCAATGTCAACATGTTGCTGTTCTTCATTTTGATCAGTCCTATTGGGAGACTCTACGTCGTTATCATCGTCATGAATTTCACTGTCGGAATCATCTACCATACTCCCAATGTCGATAGTTTCTGATTGGTTGAGCCATGTAGCCATGACTTTCGAACTCATCTCATTGTCACTACTCATCTTCGATAGTGCATGTCGACCATTCAATCGAGTTACGAAGCGAAAACAGCTCACGGGTCGATTGTTGCTTTTTATAGACGCTTTTGTGTCGCCTTTGTTCGTAGGATGATAACTGGCTGCAGTATCATCGCCTTCGAAATCTGATTTCTCATCATCATCTGAACTAAAATTGGCACACTTTTCCATATGTTCAACAAGTTTTGCTGCTGCGGACCCGGTTGAACGTTGAAGATTCCTATTACAGAGAGAGAAAGATTCGCGTAGGTCTTATTTATCGGATTATCCTGAAAAATGACTAATTGCACAACTAAACTGGCTTTCTTAGAACGAACTATATCATTGTAAGTGAAACTTTGAAATATATTTTTAATTGCGCCCATACCGATGCATTAGAAAAACAGAACTACGTTACCATTTGAAAGGTAGAAATTTTTGTCCAATCAGATCATTCTTTTTCTTGTAATATATTTTATAAATTAATTTTCATTCGAATCTTGAGAAAATTATGGCTCCGTGTATAATGGAAAACAATTTGATCGAAACGACTGAATGACTTTTTGAAAAAATGGACGCGTAATCTTTGTTTAACACTACTAAGAGGCTCGAAATGTGCAAATATTTTTGATTGAATTAAAGAAAAATCAACTCAACTTGTAAACTAGTGAGAAATCGTAGTGAATTTTTTTCCAAAGAATTTCAACAGTTATGAATTAATAATAGAAAACAATAAATATTCTCGTATTAATACATTCAGAAAAGCACTCAAATCTAATCAACGTAGGTCGCGCTGTATGTTTATATAATCGAGATTTCGTTTCATCAAAGATGCAGAATAATAGTGTGATACGTACCTGCTTGGTAACGCTGCTATTCTCGCTTGTAACGTTGGATCATCAGGATCAGCAATCATTAATGTTAATAAACGTCGATCATTCATGGCTAATACGAGAAAATCGTTATCAGCTATCATAAACGAAACAAAGTCGTAAACAAATAATTTTGCCAATTGCCGACGATCCTCAATGCGATACATAAATAAGACGCGAGGTTTGACTAGAGCAAAAACGTAAGTGCCCGATTCATTCAAACATAATTCTTGACATTGGTTATCAAGTTGAATTGGATCGTAAGATGTATGTGTGCATAGATTGTGCAAGTTGAGTTGAGTTTTTCCTTTGTTGTACACAGCAAGAGAATGTTTTTTCAGGCAAAATTTATCGATTTCACCAAACGGAGACAACTGAACGTGGCCTTTATGATTCGATATGTCAAGATTCACTTCAACCGAAATAAGAGTTTGATTATTGAAATATAGTAAGAGCACATTTTCTCTTTGTTCACTGAGAACAGATTTCAATTGCGCCGATGAAACATACGGTGAAACATCTATGTCAATATAGACAATTCTCTCCAACGTCCAGATCGCCATAGATTGTCCATTATCGGCAAGAACGATCAAACATTCTAATCCACTGAGAGTTAGGACGGAGCTCCGCATCATCGAACATTGAATGTTCAATTGAGTATTAGCAGTTTGATTGAATATGATTTCAGTGTCAGAAGTGACTTGTTGAGCGATACAATATATAGAACCTTTGTTTGTTAAAACGTAAAAGCTTCCGCTGGGTGTCGAATGAACCCATGATGGAGAACGAAGATCAAGACTAAATAGAGGTTCACGCTTAAGTGATTTCGCTGAATAGATTTCAATCCAATGATTATTCGTGAGTATGAGTACAAATATGATCTCGCAGTCCAAAGTGCTAGATACAACAGCGAACTCGTTGACGGTTATATCATCGAGAAAGAGTCGAGTAGATTCAATGGATGTCGCATGTTGATAAGACCATGTTGTGAGTTCACTAGAAAGATTGAAGACCGCAATGACTAATTTTTCATTTATGTATTGAAATTTAGAATTCTATTGTGTTTAAATAGCTTTGCGTTAACACCTACTGAAAGTTTTGCCTATTTACAAACGGAACTTTTTCCAATGGCGGCAAAATGATAAACTATATGGCATCTTACATGCTTTGCCTAAAATTCAGTATGTTTATTTCATTATAGTATCAATGTAGCTTCGAAATAATCATGAGTTAAACCAAATATTTCATTCATCTATTAGATTTTTTAACGTATAAATCCGAACGCAAAGAGTTTATTGACTTTCAAACTTATCTGTTTTTTTTTCTTCGGTAAAAAGTTCATTTTAATCATGCTTTCTTTTCTGCATAAAAAAAGATTCAAATAAGAGAAATCAATTATTCAATTACCGTTTTGAACCATCCAGAGTAATTGCAGTCTTCTGAAATAGTTGAACAGTTCGTATGACTTCATTTGTACGTGGAAAAGACGGCATGCTTTTGTAGGCGTCACGTGCTTGTTTTGCAAAGTATGCTTGAATTACTCCATTCTCCATTGAACATAAAAATAAGGATGCTGTAAAGGAAACACAATAAAGTAATATTGAAATATTCTTTACTATTAGACAAAAGAAGAAACTCGATTAATTCATTTTTACTGTGTTAAATCGCTACTGAACATTTGCATCATTCCTATAGAATATCATCGTTTAGTTATACATGTTCTTGTTGATTTTTTACTATATTTCACGGAAACAGTGTCGTTTTGATAGTTTCCGTTTCTTCTAGCGTGATTTCGGCCATCCGATATTATTTGAAATACAGAGACCAGTTTATTTACATATGATTTTCGAATCATTTTGATTACGAGAAGTCCATGCTTCTATTCTGCGTCTAAACGAACTAATATCAGTCCTGTCGAGATGATCAAATTCTATTACGAGAGAAGCTCATGAAAAATTAGCTTATTAAGTCGAATTCTTTTAAAAATAAAGAGAATCTATACCGTTTTCTGCCGACGCTTTAATTGAAGTTACCGGTGAAGCACTGATATCGATGGAGACATAAAGTTGATATTTGTGATTGTTCTTCTTACTATCATCGTCAATATCACCGCATGCCCATTTATGAAGTTCAATAGTACCTCCACGAGATGTATATATAGTGTGAGGATTTTTTGCATGTGTCGACACAATATCGAATCGACCATTGATTCGTACATAGGATATGTACTTTTGATTACATTTATGAACGACAAATAGACAATCATTTGTCTTACATATAAATAGTGGAAAATTCGCGTGGCTATCAATTTTACTCTGTGCCTCTTTATCCGGCAGAATGATGCTTTTTATTGGTTTGGGTCCAATAGGAGGATCGAAAGCCATCAGTGTTTTCAATACATGACTATCGGATAAGACTTGTTCACTAGAATGAAATTGTTTTAAGTCAACAATAGCAAAATCAATGGGAACAGTTGCATCAAATGTAATAATTAACATTTCTCCATCAGCTACGACTAAACCAAGATGCGGGCCACCTTGAATAGAACCGCGATAAACAAAGGAGGATTTTTTCCAATCCATCACTGAATGTATGTGTATGATTCCATCTTGAAGGACAGTTACAATCATTGAATAGGTTTTAATACAAAGAACATTTCGAATTTTTGACATTGGAAAATCAATTCGATCGAACAAACGATTTCGTGCAACATCCCAACATTCAATATAATTTCCATTTATTTCTGCAATGATACAAAGCGCACGTTTTCTATGAAGAACTTCCGCAGTTGCATAGCCAACACTGGACGACCGTTCAAATTTAATGTTCTCTTGAGCAGATACAAGATAGATATGATGTAAAGAATTAACTAGAAAAAGATACTTTTTGTATTCATCATTTTTATCATTCGATGAGGTGTCCTTTTCAACTTCATCGCTGTCATAGAACTGATATATATCTGGTAATGTAGTCGAATTCAAATAGGGCTCATCCAACGTCGGCAGGTTAATATCTAGAACTGTTTTTGTTGCTTGCATATCGATTACAACAATTCTATCCGAAAGAGAAATAAGTACCATTTGATCGTCAGTAAAATCCATATCAACTATAGATGTCGTATGTCGATTCATTGAAAAGATTAAACCGCTACCTGGCGGTTGAAGTTGACAATAGGGTACAATCAAAGAAAAATGCCGAACACTTTGTTCATCCAATTGTTTAATAAGATTAGTGACATGCGGTTTAATACTAAATAAAGCTAGAAGACGTACAGAGATTTCAAACGGGTAATTTTCTGGATATTCTTGAATTTGGGCGCCAACAATCAAATATAACATTGAAAGTATGTCGAGCTCCTTTTTTGTTGCGATTACTTCAGGAGAAAGACGATACGACGAAGCATTTTTGAATGTTTGAAAGTCGTTCAAGATATCATTGAAAGTTGAACAAACAACTTTAGCGCCTAAAATAAGTAGAAAAGGAAACATATGAATAAGATATATCTTATTCTCAACCAAAAAAAAAACAATAAATCAATTACGCATAAACGAATAGTTGAAAAATACTTCGTCAGCAGCAATAGGAATAGATAAGTTCGTTGTTAATTGACCTAAAAATTGCGGTAATTCGTTCAATTTTCTTTTATTGAACTGAACACGACCATTGGCATCGATGAATTCAGTTGGTTGTGAAGTTGTAAATCGATTTGCTTGAATTTCGCCATTTGATCCGTCTAAATTATATTTACGGACCAATTTGGGATCATAGATTTTAAATGGCTTATTTTTTCCTTTCCATGTTTCTTTGTATAGATCGACCATATTTTCAAAGACAGCTGTTCGTTCGTTACTCGACATTTTTGAAATATATTGAGCATTTGCAACTTCAATGAATCGACGGTGGTACCTATATATTCAAATAGAATTCAGAAACGAAGGAAATCTTTAGAAAGGCGTTCGTTTTGAAAAAATATGAAACATCACCCATGTGATTCAAACCGGAAAAAACGGCGGTATACCGACGATTCATCGTTCGGTATAATGTGCGCTCTACCGCCGGTTTTTCATGAAAGTGATGCATCCTTTTGTATAGTACTCAGGAGAATCATTCCGACAAGGGTCAGACAGTGAATATACCGAATGCTATATGTGTTTCAATAAAACCGATGAAATCTTATGGGATTCTTGGGCACGGACCTACAGTCGGATTCTTGCTATTGGACCCAATCGGATCCGATGTTGAACTTTAACGGAACTCAACTCTAAGGAATCACCCTTGCGCTCTGATGGCTCAAAGTGTTTATTCGATCGTGAATAAGAAAATGATTTTTTTCCGTCGGAGCCGACAATAGGTCCGTGTCCTGCAATCCTATCGGATTCATTCATCTGGGTATAGAAAACGACTGAATATTTTTTTCAAGCCTGTTAAAACCGGCAGAATCGTGTTGAATTCGATGCACTCTGATAATGTCGATGTGCCTGAGCCGCCTGTAGTAGCCACCGATCTCAAATCAGTCCCATTTATGAGGTAAATATTTTATTAAAGATATTGCTGTAAAAATAATAATTCGCAAAATATATTCTAAAATAGTTTTGTTTTCGATTAATTCGAATTCTTTCTCCGAAATAAATCGGGATTTGGCAAAAAAACGGTTTCTGGAAGCCTTTTTTAGCTGGGACCGGAGCTTATAAGCGATACCGCTGGTAGTGACAAAAAATATGTGGCATAGGCATGGCATAATTACTTAAATCGACAAGTATTAAATAACTATTTGAGGCAAAGACCAAAGCCAATGTTTAACTCTATATTGTTGCATCCACTGGAAATCCTTAATTTTATGGATGATATCCTTTCACAATTACTATGAATATTTAGAGACAAATGCAACTCCCGATGAGACGAATAGAGAATTAAATATTATCATATGAATATTTCTAATCGACTTTAATTTCATCTGTTGATATAGAATCGCAACAGAGTCAATATTCGTTGACTCAAAATCTCTGTTGAATTCAATAGGTTATCTACATTTATAATTGAAATAGATAGAAAATTGTAGCCCTAACATAATATCATTGCTAGAGCGATAGAGAAGCACTTTCGAAATAAAACAGAACCATTGTATACAATTTTCATTAGCAGACTATATCTAACCATATCTGTATCGATTGCTAGAAGTAAGTTTACTGAAAGAACCAATACCATTCTTTTGCCTCACTATCATTAAAGACATCTGAAGTAACTCGAATATAACACTCTTTAAAGTCGCTCACTTTTAGACTCAAGTTATTGTTCAAGTTAAATTTCAAAGTAAACTTATGAAAATAAAAAATCATACCAATAGATAACCGATGAATCATCAACTTCTTTTTCTGTGATATATTCATCCAAATCATTTCGAATTCTTGTCCATAAAATACCCGGTATACGTCGAATAGGTGGTATATAATGTTCAAAAACACTTATCAGAACGTCATCATCGAGTGAAAGTACATCTTCGAGTTCATTTTGACTGATACCATTTCGACATGCTGTCATATAACAAATCGCACGTTGAAATAAAATAGCATTGTGAATGACTTTCAGACGATTGAATAGATAACGAATGCAATCATCAACAGTCTTTAATCTTTTCAATTCAACATCAATAGAATCATATGAATGCCAAGTCGAAATAATATCGAACATAAGTTTCATATATAAAGGTAAAATTGCCGTTTGTTCTTTCATTAAATCACGAATAAACGAACGTTGTTCATCGCTCAATGAACGTTTTTTCATTGCGAGCCAATCATTGTAAACTAGATCTACTGTTGATGCTTCAAATGCGGGCACATGTATAAGTATATCTTCTGTATCTTGAGGTGAAGTTGGATTGTAATTCATAATGCTTTTCAAATTTAGTAAAATATTGCCATGATCGGGTAATGTTGATACGATGCATTTGACATTGTGTGGATATAATCCAGGCAACCATTGACAATCGTAAGCATCTGTCTCAAGCTGATCGATTGAATCGAGTAAAATAATGAGATATTCATCGTCTGGTATACGTATAAGTAGATCATTTGCCAACTGATGGCGTAGTTGTTGGACATCAGGATAGATTTGCATCGATAGATTGTACAATTTGCAGATATGATGCGATATAGAGAGGATAGTTTTGTAGACTGTTGACGATGATGGTGTCGTTCTAATTAGAAGAGAAGAAAAGATTTGAATATAGTAAAATAAAAATCTCAGATCGTTTTAAACCTGCTATTAGAAAATTCGATAGATAATTTTATCTGGTTTACGGATATTTTTTTTTGACTGAGACCTTTTAGTGCTACAACATGTCAATAAAATATGAATTGTTTAGAGTTTTATCGAATAGGAGATTTCCTTCGCGGATCACTGAGTAGTGCTCGTAGTCAAATCATCACTTCCAAATGTTTTATGGTATTTTTTGATTACTGAAAAATGCACGATTAGATTTTTTTCTCGTCTAACTGATTTCACATAAATTTTAGAAAACTTACCCAAGAAAACGTAGAATGACGGATACAGATCGATCAGACCACCATTTCAATGCCTAGAATGTTTAACACATAATAAATAGTAAAATGAATTTAATTACAGATCGTTTTATCTACAGACCTCTGTTGCCGCTTTAGCGATGACACTTGTTTTACCACAACCCGATGCTCCATATACAGCACATGGTCGATTTTCGTTATCATTCTTGATATGTTTTTCAAGCTGATGGAAGTAAAATGACTCGTTTTTTTTTCGAAAAAAACAAATTCATAAAATATAATTTACTTTATTGAGAACATCAGTTCGACCATGAAATTTCGCCACATAAGTTTTACATTGTATGGCATGTTCCAAGATTTCATGGTGTAATGGATCGGAAACTATCATAATGCGTGATTTAACACAAGAGTCGATCTGTTGTATTATTGCATTGTAAAAATCTTCATTAAATTTAGCTATATACTCGGCATGATCATGCCGATTAATACCTTTTGGTGTCCAATGTACCTTATATGAGAATATATTATTCGATTGCAATGCATTTGGAATACGTGTATATTTTAAACGCGTGAGTAGCTGTTCAGCTTCTTGATCAATAATAGGTTCATCATCATTCGAAGAATTTACATCGATAAATTTTGATGCTTTACTATCCGATAAATGACTCTGAATATCTTCAATTTCACGTAAAAAACATAATGTACGCTGATTAACATTCGATGCTGATAGAATTCCATTGACTATTTCTTTTTCTGTAACTAGAAAAACAAATTCCTTATGTAAAACAAATGTTTAGCGTAGAAAATAATAATTACCTGATATGAAGAAGTCATCATAGTCGCCTGCACTAATTTGACCTTGTTCCAAAGATTTAGTTGCTGCCTGTCGTAAACATGTTCGAATACGATCATTGATTTTTGTCCATTCTTTCGAAGCTTGTTTTCTCTCATGTGAATCCTGAAACAAAGAATATTATCTTCAGTATCTATCTTCAACTTACAAATCGTTCATACATTTGACTTGATATTTGGTAATAGTGTAGAAGTCGGACGAAGTACATAAGCAGCTGGTACACAATTCGTATCTTTTTGATACCATTGAGAGAGTAACTCAGCATCATCGTTGAGATAAGGATCTGAACTAACAATCTGATGTAATTGTTCAAATAGTGATGCATGAATAGTGGCCGGCGTTGGTCGCGAGCCATAACGATGACTTAATAGGACCTATGGAAATTTTTGAAAACAAGCTAAACTATAACAAGTCATATATTACAAGATTAAACCAACCACAAAATTAGTAGCGACCGAATACTTTTGACACATTTTTATTTCATTGAGACAAGTTTCAACTTCGCCGTGATTATCAGCTGATTCGCTTTGAATGCCCCATCGCATATCCGAATACTTCAATGAGTAGTTAAAAATGTATTCAATAAAAATATAGATTGTTTCTACTAACTTGAAATTCGAGACCGTATTTTTCACGACAATAAGTTTTCAATTTAGGAAAAACAGTATCGATCAATGAGTCTCGTTCAGCGAGTGTATCTAAATAAAATAGCACAGGTTTTCTATTGAAAACAGTAGTTTAAGTATCTAATATCTAACCCGAAAACGTCGAACTAACAAAGACACGAACGACCTTCGATCGAACTTCGGGCAGTTCTTGACATCGCCCACGTAAAACATCCACATGATAGGAAGGTTCCATGTTTGATAGCAATAATAATGTATTGTGTAGCAATTATTTTGAAATAACAAACTAGTTAAATATGCTTGCCAAGTCAAACTGTAAACATTGACATTTTACTGGTGTTCACCTTGGAGAAGCCTCAACAACGACGAACGATTCACATTACAAGAGAATTATTCGACGGGAACGAGCGAACGCTTCTCTGATGTCGACACACGCTCGCAGAATATAAATTTAAGAACGCGAAAAGATTATTTGGCAAATAAAAATGCTCATGTGCACACAATACACCAACTGATTTTACATAGCGACTAATTGAAAAAAAAAACATTGCAAAATGAGACACATTAACTCGGCGTTGCACATGTAAACAATGAAATTGCATGAGGCGTCTATCAGTTAAATGCATTAAACTATTGTTGAATGCTCAGGGACGATTTTCTTTTCTTAATCAAAATTCTGAAACAAATAATTCATTTTCATGATATCAGTTTTTACATTAGTATTAATGCCATTCTTACGCTTAGCTTTTGATTGTTCAACGATTTTAAATAAATCAAACCAATGCAGATATTCATCAATGAAACTGTTTTCTTCTTTTTTTCATTCGGTTTTTGTCATTAGATAAATAATTTATGAAGTTATCACTCTTTGCAATCTATTCTTTCCTTGATTATCGATTGGAGGAGTCGTATAGTACAATGGCATTACAGTTTATTTCCTTCCTTCATATCATTTGCACCAAAAGCACACATTTATAGATATAACCAGAACGATGTTTACGATACAGTAGAAAGAACAGACAGTGAAAGACTAAACATCATGTAGGGATAGTTAATTCAACCAAGCAATGAGAGTCGATTATGGCTAATGAGGGACCCAACCGGAATGTCACAGTATGATTGCACCTATTTATAATCATGAGTACGTGTGTGCTAGAATTTATGTTTGGTAAAGTAGCTTCAAGGATAAGTAGCCTCCATAGTTTACGATGAGCGAGGGGGGGGGGGGCACCCCCCCCCCCCCCCCCCCCCCCCCCCCCCCCCCCCCCCCCCCCCCCCCCCCCCCCCCCCCCCCGCCCCCCCCCCCCCCCCCCCAATCCTGCCGCTCAAACTTTTTTCCGTTATACCTTTCTCCCTGGAAATTTTCTTTGCGACTTTGTAGACGATTTTAATTTATTTGTTGACTGAATAAAGCCTACCAAAAGCAGTCATCTAGTTTCTCCTTTATACCAATTTATTTTCTCTTTTATATGGATCTATTTTCACTTTAGGTTCAAACCACTTTCGCTTTTATATTAATTTATATTCTCTTACATATCAATTTATTTTCTTTTTTAAGTTCGAACTATTTTTTACGTTAATCTATTTTCATTTAGATGATATTGTTCAAAACTTTTTCACGCATCCAGGAAGAGCAAAAGCTCGCAATATCGATATATACATTCAAAACAATTACGACGATAGCGATGATGAGTGATAGGCAAAGCATAAAATAATTTTTCCAAGAACATTAACTTTGAAATTAGAAGCTATGAACGTAAAAAGTTACGACTAGAAAAAAAAATTTTTTCCCGTTAATCTCTTTTTTCACATATTTATTTACAAGAAAGCAGCAAAAAAAAATTTTCTTAATTGAATAAGAAAGCCTTACAAATTCTAGCTAATAATATCTTTTTTACGAAAAAAAAATAATGCAAAACTGTTTCTCTCTCGTTTTGGGAGACTTTCTCTTTCAAATCTTCCACCCGCTAACCAAAAACAAACGAAAACTATGGTAGCCTCTAGTCTTGCGAGAGAAAATAAGAAATATGATAGATCTTTGTATAAATTGTTCTATTTTTTCTCGTCCAACAGATTCTCAATATACATAGTGATGTGTGGTCTATATAGTCATCGCTCTTTTTCCTTCCTCTTCATTAGTTTTGTCGTTTCTTCATTTGACAAGATGAAGAACATAGGCATAAACTCTCGTCCTTCAGAATCTTACCTTGTGAACACCATCAGAAGAACGCAAAAACGGAACTATACTATAGAGTAATTACTTATCGTCGTCGCATTTCTCTTATCTCAAACTGGTACAATTCTTGGATGCTTGTGTTTATCCGTTATATTCGTCTTTTTTTTTGGTAATCCTGCTGAGTGCCTTATAAAGAATGAGAGCGAATCTCTCTCTGAAAAATTGTGCTCGTATCTATAATATGCTTGTCGAAACTGTATGAAAGTTTAAATCGACAATCTTCACTATAAATTAGAAAATATAATAACACAATCACGCAGTATTTTATCTCTTTCTGTTACTTTAGCTAATATTCCTAAAAGAAAACAGCTTTTCGCAATTAAATAGAATCATATATGGACTAATTAAAGTGCCTGTAATCGATTACAATATTGTCCCATCAATTATTTTTATTCTCCTACCATTCATCGATCAGTCGCTGACATAAAAGACGTATCTATCTACTTTTTTTTATTTACATCACTTTTCCATTATTAAAAATACTTGTTACACGACCCTGATAGTTTCGCTTTTAACATGCTCTAGATTGCGACAATTACGTAGAGATTCATGCTTACCGTCTTAACGCTCCGTTAAATCTATTAAAAAAGCGCTGTCAATTCTATCATTGATTACTACAATTTTTTACGCTCGATACTATTTATCAAAGAACAGTCAAAATAGTTTGATGATGGCATCCCTTGTTTTTGTGTACTCAAAAAAAAAGTGAGTACACTATAGAATTGGTCAGTGTCCGTCCGTCCGTCTACACGATAACTCCTGAAAGGCTGAGTTATCGAAAAAATTGTCATTATTGACCAGACCATCCCTGAGGGGGGGGTACAGTGATTTTTTCAAAAAAAAAATTTTTTCTCAGTATTATTCACAACATATATATAAATCGACTCAGTTTTTTGCAGCAACACCTAACTATCGGATGCAAATCCGATGTTTCCGTATTTATTTTACAATACGAATGATGTCGTATATCAGTGCATAAGTTTTAGTTTTCGACGTAAATCACATTTTTATGATTAGATTTAGGTTAAGTTCTAATATTGATCAATTCGCCTTCTCTCTGTAGAAAATACTTTTTCCTTTTTCTAAATGTTGTAGCCATGCCAAAGAATGTTTTCTTGCTGTTGCACTTCCTGTTTATTCATGCAGCCTTGGATACCTGCAGCAGTATTCATGAGTGCGTGAATTATTTGCGCATCGCTGCTTCATTTAATTGTAGAAACAACAGTGAAGTAGAAAAATCAATTTATGAAAGGTGGCATTTGTTTTTAATCAAAGTACAGTTTTAGAGGTATTCTGTGATTTTGAATAAGCACAAAACAATAAAAATTAAGTTTCGTGTATTTGTCAAATGCTTCAGCTGAAGATTGCTGCTAAAATCGAAATTATTTTTCGCGATTGGATTTAGCCAAACTTCAGCTAAACGCTAACAAAATGTATCTATAACATTCAACATGACTATTTAAATTAGATAATATTTAATCCATTTTCAATATATATCTTTATCTTATGAATAAGATATTTTCTTATAAGACCATTGCTATTTATCTCTCTCGTCATACAGCAATAAGCAGAAGATGCTTCAAGCATGATTCAAAAGTAGGAAGGTATCAAAACTCTCCTTTTTGACTCGTTGTAGACTTTTGCTTATCGTTTATTTTTTCCGAAGTTAATGATTGTGAGACCTGTTTGACTTTCCTGGACAAAATCTAGTCTAGTATTGACTATATTAACTGATTCATATTAAAAGTCTTATGGGTTTCAAATGGTTGGCCGTAGAAAGGCCGAAAGGAAAAATACCGAAAGAAAAACACCGAAAGAAAAATATCGAAAGGGAAAAATGTCGAATGGATAAATGTCGAAGAGAAAAATGTCGAAAAGGAAAAATGTCGAAAGAAAAATATCGAAAAGGAAAAATGTCGAAAACAGAAAAGATAAAAAAAGCGACGTCTACTAAATGAAGGTTCTAATAGTTTGTTGTTCATTGTTGTTGATCTGATTATTCCATTGGTTTGACAATGATAACCCTTGATACTATTGATAAGTAATATCTTATGAAAACTAGCTAAAATAGGCGTAAAATAGTATACAACGATTAAAATTTTATCATGATGACTACAGCTTGCTCATTTTTATCTGGTGAGAATCATCCGCCAACTCCAGTTATTTCATTTATTCAGTCGTAAAAAGGAAAACCTTTCCTTGTATCAGATAAATATATTTTCAAACTGAATACAACAGCAACAACTAGTAAATATTGGATATGTGTATTTTTCTTTATAACTCTTATTTATCTATGATCTATGCTATGATGCTATTATGATTTCAAGAATAAAAACATCTTAGTGCAAATTTTCGATATTTTTCCCTTTCGATATTTTTTCTTTCGATATTTTTCCTTCGACATTTTTCTTTCGACATTTTTCCTTTCGTCATTTTCGATATTTTTCCTTTCGATATTTTTCCCTTTCGACATTTTTCCTTTCGGTCTTTCTACGGCACACCTTTCAAATGATCATCGATTCTTTGAAGCGAATTTTGTTCGTTAATCCATAACGATTTAGATTCAGCTACCAATATTTTAATTCATAGATAAATTTGCACGTGGAAGCCAGCCTAAAATGTGAAATACAATCATGTAATATGTTGCCGTGAGTGTAAGAAAAAGATTAATTGAATTTTCATAGGAAAATAGAACCGAACCTATTGCACAGAAGACTAACGCGATTTCGTTTCATTTATCACTTTTATAACGTATTTCAAATGAATTCGCCTATCAAAGGCGGGGCTTTGCCAAGAGAAAATTTTCCTGAAATGGCATCAATGTACTAGTTTTAGAATTATGATTTTTTTTTTAATTTCGCTCTATTTATTCGTGACATCCTATCTTTTTTTATGACTTTTAGTACAGTTTTTTCGGACGCCTACGAGAGAGAAAGATAACGATGACATATGGAGAACAGAATACGAAGAACAGAAAACAAACAAACTAGAGAGGCAGTGATGACGAATCCACGTGTATTGAATTGTTTTTTCTTTCTTGACTATTCTTCCATTATCGAGTATTGTTGAAATCAAAACACCGTGCCAGGGAAAGGAATCGAACCTTCTGCTATCTGACTAAATCAGATACATAGAATCACTACACCATCCCTGGGTAGAATTATGATATACTGAACATGAAGGATTTGTTGAACTTTTCAAAACTTGTTAATCATGAAAAATGACTTTTATTCTGAAAAAAATACAATTCATACGATTGATTCGAACTGCTACCTTATAGTCTAGTTTTCACATCAAAATTGCTATTTCGTTTACTTGAGTAATGATTACACGATACTCGTTTATATTTCTTCTAGATAGGTAGAGGTACAATGTTTATTTTTAAAAATAGGCGAATATACACTCAAGCAATAGCAAATTAATACTTTGAGTCATCCTATCAGTCGTTTGTTACAGCAATTACAACCGCATTGGGAACATGTGGGTTGCTTGCACGCCAAAACCAGAGGCATTGATTCGTCGTTACTTGACGAAATCGATTTAAGGCAACCACGAATAAGGTGTGGGTGTGGGTGCGACTGTGAGTCTCGATATTTGATTTCCCTATACTCACACCCACACCCTTCTCCTTTTCGATATTATTGATGCTAATTTAAGAAAATAAAACTACAGATAGTTTGCTATAGGACATCCAGCTGTTTCTAAGTCATTATTTGCTCATTGTTTGTGAAACAAAGAAAGTCACATTCTAACATATATTCTGAATGTAGTTGAGAAATGTATTGTCGCATTACCAGTGGAAAGTCGACAATAAAACAGAAATATAAATCATAAAAGCTGTCCAAATTCTGATGGAAAATGGACAAGAAAACTCCCAGCAAAAAAAAAGGTTGCCGTAATTCCATAAGAATTTTATCAATTGTGGAAATTAGTCATGATGTAAGAAAAAACATGTGCCTTTTTAGAGTGTCATCTACAATCTTCAGGGTCAAACTCTGAAAAACAGATAGACGATGCCTATCCACATTGATTCGTTGGATGCGCAATTATCCAACTAGATTATTTAATGTTTTCCATCGTTTTGCTACAAGAAACAACAATCAATTTTTTCTCACTCGTTGAAGAATCTGAATAGTAATTTCGTGTTTCTCAAAAACAAGGTCAACGAATACCATGAATGTTGAAGAAACTATTATGCAAGCTGTAATTCTTGATCAATATCCTATGTTGTTTCACTGTGAATCACTTTATAATGTTGAATGAATTTCATCGATACTATAGATGAAAGAAAGGGAAATTACTGGAAGGCTTTTGTCTATTATTAAAATCACTTTGACACCATTGCAATAGCAGTAGCTACTATGCATTCTCTTGTTCAGTATAAAAACATTCGTCTGGCTTCTTCGTCTAATTATTGAAGCGTTGCAAGGATTTTTATAGTTAATTGAAATTCCAATTTTCTTCCAAACAACTCATTTTACTGAAGGAAGACATTTTTTAACAATGATCATGACGATGTTGAACATAAATAACGAGAAAAAAAAACTATCGCAAACTATTCTCACACAGAAACACAAATCTTTCATTTTTATTAGAAGATAATTTCAGTCCATGTATTCACCACAATCTTATCTACGAAAGAACTTCGTAACAGAATACATCCATCGGTTTCATGTCAACGGCAAATTCAAGTTTCTTAAAGCAACCGCTCGGACACAGTGAGACTCTCGCAAACTTCGATTATTGAGACTGTCATGCATTTGTAATTAACAAAAAGAGTGCTATTAGAATATTTCTTCAAATAAAATTCTCAGAATACAAGCGTAAGTTTCATTTTCAGTTAGAAACCATCCAAAGAAAAAGCATAGGTTAAATTAATGCGAGAAGAAAATCGATTTTATCACCCAGTAATGAAAGTTGATTCGAAGAATATTATTTTCTTGACTTTGAAAAATAAGTGCGATTCGACATGAGCCCGTACAATAAGGCACCAGAAGCACATTTCTATGTTTAAACACGGACAATGTAAAAAAATTTCGCATGCTTGTTTTGGTGATAGCGGAATGTTTTCAGCCCTAATGGTTCTGCATAGACGTTTATCAGCGTCTCAAACGCAATAACTATAAATGATTCTCTCTAAAAAGAAACAGTGAAAATGATGTATCATTCTTGTTTAAATAAATTTGTTTCTTACGCATCTATTGAAACGTCTACTGATCACTGTTGTTTCTTTTCCTTCTTTGTTCAAACATTTCTATTACTCATACCCAAAAAGTATGTTTCACTGGATACGCCTATGACCTTTATACTAATTCTATTTTATTGGCTTAATGCTTGTTCATATTCGTTTAATATTATTGCTTCTATTTTTGTTTATAAATTAATTGCCAATACTAATGTATTTCACATTGAGAAAATGTGATTCTTTTTCTCTTTGGTATCGAAATACATTGACATAAAATCAATCGTATGCAACGCTCCTCTATTCTAATCAAGAACACGCCCAAAATTGCATTTTTCTTTTATGAATATTTACGAAAAATTATACTCTAATTTATAGTCCATCAGTGGTAATTACGTTTTCTTTTCTTACTGAGTGTCTTGGTCTTCTCTCGTTCTACATCGACAAATATTTGTTTCTCATAACTACTGTTCGAATATTAAAAACAATCTCTATCTCATTATCCTTCATATCAGTGACTAGAGAAGTTTGTTGAAGCAATGTCGGAGCTTCAATCGACAGGTGAACTTCGTATAGCAGATCTTAATCCTAACATGGCTTATCTAAATTTTCAGCAAAATTCTCCACAGATTTTGAATTTGGCCAATACGGAAATTGCTAAATCATGGGAAAAGGTGCAGATCAACTGGAACTATCCAGTCGATGATATGACATTAATTATTGAAACACCATTTACACAAAAACGACAGCCCTATGCAATTTCGATTGATAATGAAAGTCTCAAGAGAGGCACGTCACATGTTTCTCGCATCATCGACGACGAAGAAATCGAACTTAATAAGGATGGTTGCCGCAAAGTTATAAACTGCGACTCCAATTATCAGATCGTTCTCAAACTGTATGCCACGCCAGCTGCCGCTTACCTTGCTCTCATAAAATACCATGTTATTAAAAAATAAAGTAAAATAAAAGGATCCAAATTACGAAGAACAATTTCGCGAACTATTTAAACATAACTTTTTCTCCCTGTGCAATTGTAACAGAATAAACTAAATAACGTTTAATTTCCATTTTGATGCTCATTGTGTATTTTGCAATCCGAATTTCATATATGAATTAAAGTATCTTGGGAAGCAGATTTTTTTTCTATCCTCCTTCGCAAGCTGAAACGGTCAGGGTAGCTTTGAGTTGAATAAAAATTGTTCGTAACCGCTTAGCTAGGAATTAAAACTTGATTATACTCGGTTAGTCTTATCTTTGATGACATGAAAAATGAAAGAGTATTTTGATTGGCTACAGACGAACTTTGTACATGGAAGTGCGTTAATGATGTCAGAGTAGAAATTGTTTTTACAAAAACCACTAATATCAAACGACTGATTTCAATTGTTACCTCAATAATACGAATCTCAAGAAAAATGTAAATCCAATGATGAATTCAACAGATCTAAGAAAATTCGATGCTCAAATAAATCAATAGCAGATTTCTTTTTACGTAATAAAACTATTTTCTGGGACCACAATAATCTCTTCGTACTCAACTAACGAGGAATTTCTTATTCATAAAGGAATAATCATAAGCAAAACAGCGAAATTGCAAATCGATCAGAGTCAAATTCACTTTAAAGAAAAATACTAAATAAACGAACTTAACAAAGCGATAGTAGATATTAGTTCGATCGAACAATTACCATTAAAACATTCACCGATATACCACTAAAATCTATCGAACATTAACAAATCATTGTTTATGAATTTTTTTATCGAGTCATGAGAAACTGTGCCTTCCTTACATAACTCCGAAAGAAAAAAGCTGAATACAACACTGATCCACATTCACACCTTGTAATTTTATCAGCTGCTATTTTAGTTACATTATATTTCAATCAATTATCGGTCTAAAACGAACTGTATTAAAGTATTTCAAAGAGTCGAAGACTGAAAAAGAAAAATTCCTATCATCAAAGAATTTTTAAAAAAAAGAGAAAATATCACCATCCTTTCAACACATTTTATACATGACCTCTCGTATCGTACTTATAAATGAGAGCATTTCTTTACGAATAACCAAAAACGAAAGAATATTGAACATTTGCACAAAATTAATTTTACCAATTACTAATAACGATTGAAATTTAATAAAAAAAAAAGCACTGAAAATAATTTTCCAATCGATCTCAGCATCTCAATATTCACTTCTTGACAATAACGAGAGGCTAAAAGTAGGCGGAACAGAGCATATATGGGATACTACATTAATAGACGTAGGTGGTCAAAGCAATCAGAAACTAACTGTGCAAAATGATGTCATTCTCTTATTAACATATTGCTTGTTCGTCGTCTTGTTGTATGACTCATCGAAACAAGAAAAGATAATAGATACCAATACGTTGATAATCAAAGATTAAATAACAAAAACATATTGTACACTACTAGCTTAGTTATCTTCGTCTGTCTTATTTGTTTATAGTCGCGCGTGGCATACTTGTATGCTGTCAAGTGGCTAGCTTGTTGTTCATAAGCTTCCTCCTCGTCTTCTTTCATCTTATCCGCATTGACTATTATCAGCAGGAAAGAAACTAATCGATATTGGTCAGAACGAACAAAATATAATTCTCTCGTTGACACTACCAACTAACAATATGCATCCGTGTGTGTGTGTTATGATCTTATTAGCATGAGTTTAACAATTCATTGAGCTATACACTGATCGCACTACGATGAGATATATAAATATAAATATATTTATAGGAGCGAGAGAACGAAATAGATCGCAACACCTGAATAAGACTTGTCAAGGTGCATCGTCTCATCACACTTAACGAAGCTGTTAGTTGTATTCAAATTGTCTTGATACAGATGGTTTATGTGCACATTTTAGAAAATATTTCGGTGATGCGTCAAATACATAAAAACTATCACCAAACAACGATTGGGATTCTACCAGATTAATTTGCATAATACAAAAAACAACAAACTAAAACTGCATTACATTAAATCTATGAAAATTTTCATAATTAACGTCTGTTTTTCTGTTTCTTCTATTCACAATAGATCAGCGCTTTCTATGCGATTCCATTTAATTGATTCATACATACTTTTCATACCTATCAGATAGCCTTTTTGCGATTATCAGAATCTCAAATCAATTTTCGAGCACTTAGCAACATTACATTCGCACTCAATTTACATTGACGACCAGTTAGTTCGTTGTCATCATCGGTTCTTATCACAGTTCAGGTCGACGACTTTTTGTTTTATTCATTTATGTGCGAATATACATTTAATTCACCTATCGATCACTATTATTCTATTATCCTTGAAAAAAAGAATTCTATTATAAGCTAAAGTGTTCATGCTTCGATGATGCATGCAAGAGAAAGGCAACAATAATGGAAACGAAACGATAACGATGTCATTCTGTTTGCTTGTTCTTGTTCTTCTTCTCTTCGTAATCAAGAGAGAAACAGATGACACTTACAATTATTTTATAACGGATGGCACCACCACCAATTGGCATCGACCAATAGAAAAAGAGAGAAACATAGAGAGAGAGAGAAAGAAAAATGACCCTTGCTGCGATTTCTCCGATATGCACTATCAGACACATCACTTTCATTATTGCATACATCGACATTTGTTAATAATCAAGCAGACATACAGGTAAGATTCGACATGTGTCCTTTCTCAAAAGAATAAGAGAAAAAGAAAATGTTGTGTATCTAATTGACTCAATTGAATAAAGGAACTAATGTATTAGCATCGGTTATGTTGTTAATATTATGCACCAGCTTTTCTTTTATCACTAGAACGAAATGATGCTTAGTGTACAGCATACAAATATGGATGCAAAGTCGACTAGCGATGAAACATTATCGACATCGATGGTGTCAGAAATTAATGACGAAAAAGAAAATATTCCACTTTGCAGCTATTGTCGAAAATCTTTTGCTAACTATTCAAATTTAAGACATCATATACAAATTGTTCATTTAAAAGAAAGCAAATGGGATTGCAGTAAATGCGGAAAGGTAAAAACAAGCTAATTAAATTTAACTGATCTATTTTTTATTATTTTTGAAGATTTGCTCATCGAAATCGAATCTTAAAGTTCACTTTCGTACACATATTCGCGTTAAACCGTATACGTGCAAATATTGTGAATATGATTGTATGCATCATTCGTCAATCAAAGATCATCTAACAAAAAATCATCCAGATAAACCACATACAAGTATTGAACCTGGGTAAGAATTAAAAATTATTTCTCGCGAATGAAAGATAAACGTCAAAAACACATCTCATAATCGATGAACTGTTATTTTAGAAAATTAAGAGTTAAAAAAGTACACGCGGGATTAAATCGAGAGAGAAAACTACTATTCGATTCATTCACACTCTCCGTGTTATAATCGTCTTATTAAAGGTGACTTCTTATTACCACGATCTCATCGTTCATATATAAACTATTTTCATTTCTGGAAAGATATAAATGATAGAATATCTCTGTATGATCAACACCAACAAGTACATTAAGTTTCGAATTCCCGTAAAAGAATTTCTTTCTTTTGCTCCCGGAAAATAACATTTCCATTGAATTCAATGCTGTGGATTGTAACGAAGATTTCTTATAGAAAACGTTTTTATTTAGATATAATTATAATTCTCAAGCTGTTCCTGAACCCGATGAATTCAATGCCGTCGATTTCGATCCAGCAAAATTTGTCGAACAACAAACCCAATGTAAACAACGCCAATCAATTATTGTTGATAATAATGGCACATTAAAATATACTCAAACAATGACAACAACAACTAAAAACACCTCACATGCAAATAATCATATAACAATAACAAAACCGAAACGTTTTCGTAGCGACACAAATCTACTAGAAACAACTGAAACGTCACCATCAATAACACCATCGTTCCCGTTTCTTGCTCCAACTCCATTTCCATTATGGCCATTTAATCTCTATCATCCATCGTATATTCCAGCTATGATGAATGCAATACGTTTATCGTCACTTTCAAATTCAGTCGTACCTCCGATTCACGAAGAAAAACATCCGATTAGAACAAATCGAAAATCATTTGAAATTGAAGGAATATTAAATTTATCATTACGTGATAATAAACGTAAAAATCTTTCCGATACAATTTCAAGTGAAGAAGAAGACTCGATTTAAACTTAGTGTATCATTTTTTCTTTCTTTTTGTTCTATCGCATTTCTGTTTATTATTATTTTTTCTGTATACAAAAAAAGAGAAAGAAATCAGCAATAAATCACTCACTAAACTTTTCGTTTTGCTTTATTTTTTATTCTCTGTTGGTAATAATGCTGATGATTCGTCATCGTCGTCCGGCGGTGAAAATGATGGATAAATTAGTATAATTAAAAATGTAGCCAATAAACCAAGGATGAACAATATCGAAATCATTATCCATGTTACTCTTAACAAGGCTCCAGCAAATAACGGACCAATAACGGCCGCTCCATTGACAAAAATACGCTGTATACCTTGACCAACGCCTTGTTGATCATAGCTCATTTGTTGCATAAATAAACTTGTACTTGTTACAGCAATAAGCGGCAATGCCAGAATATCAAAACCAACAAATAAAAGAAATACAGGTAAGTATTTTGTTGAGCCAACTTTAGCGAATGGTAAGACAAGAACACCAATCAAACAAGCTATACTAAGAAGAGTATAGGCGAACAATAGAATTGTTTGATCATTAATTTTTTTCGTTATAAAGTGTAAGGCAATATAAACAAGTGTTATTTCAATACCGGCTATAGCGAATACGATTGATACTTCTAAATCTCTCCATCCGAATTGAATATTTGAGAACGGTGTGATGGTTGTTTCAAGTGCTGTTTGATTAAAGTAGGCAATAAAACAAGTTATTAGAAGAACCTAAAGTAAAGTTTTTTTCATAAAGAAGAGCGAAAATACATTCAGAAAAGAGCCAATAGATGATGAGAAATATTCCCTAAGAAATTTAAGAACAACGTGAAAAATATTCTAGATAAAAAAAGTTCTTCCAATTGTAAAATTGTTGTTCATTAGAAATTTTCCAGAGCTGGGCACGTACGGATTTTCTCGAGTACGAGTACCAATACTAATAATTGTGTCCGTAAGACTAGAAGTTTCCAAACTAGTTTGTAAACAATGTACCTTAATCAGGGTGTCGCGAGCAATCAAGTACTGGGGGATAAGAGGGGGGAGGTGTAACTTATAGAATCCTACTTTCCAAAAATTTTGGAGGGGGAGTAACCAATGTTGCCATATCTGCCAGATTCTGAAAGTTTTTTTGGGCTTTTTCGGATTTTTTCCATTTTTTTCTGAATTTTTCGGATTTTTTTCTCAATTTTTCGAATCTTAAGATTTAAATTCCGGATTTTCGAGTTTAACATCTGGCAACATTGGAAGTAGCTTAGCAGATCGTACTTGGTGAGGTATAAGTTTCATTTTGTGAAAGAAAATGCAAGACAATTTATCGAATACTGGAGAGGGGCTCATCTCTTCATCCTCCCGCTGTCGCGGTACCCCTGGTCTTAATGCTCTGCAACGACTAAATATATTTATATGAAGCGAAGAAAGAAAATAGACTGGCATATGGCGATTATTACACGACTATATGTTGTACAAATCTTCAAACATTTGCGCTGATCGACAAGAGAAGATATTAGTGGTGTGCTTGTCTGTTCAACCAACTTTGTTGAAAAATACAAAGAGATATTCGTGTCATAAAATATGCTTTATCTCAAATTCGGAAAATAAAATTCCCAAGCCTGAGTACCAGACCCCTCGAGTACGAGTACTTCGAGTATTTTGCCCACCTCTGTTAGAAACTATTACGTTGGGTTGATTCTTGTTTATTAGTAATTAAAAAACTTTAATATAAATTTGGCTTAACGTTCAGTCATGTAAGTTGTGTGGAAATGGAATTGATTGATTTCAGAGCTGATAGTAACTAGAAAATCTTCAAAATTTGAATATTACGCTGTAAGAATTGACTCATCCTGGCTAGTGATGTATCGAGACTGAAAATGAAAATTTTCAATTTTTTGTAGACAAAAGTTGAATCACATATCGCACTGATTTCATCGACGTCTTACTTTGCAGTAAAATGTTCGTTCTACAAGCATCTACATTAAACGAAATCGTACGACATTACATATAATCAGAATATCCTCAAGAAATACTCTTTACATCCTTAGTTCTGGCTGAAGCTTTGCGTTAATAGAACATTTTATCTGTTTACAGTCATAATGTCAACTCGAAACCCAATCGTTGAACCAAAATAAACTATTAATCTACTCATTAACGCCAATAGAATTGGATTGGTCTTAAAGAAAGAATAGTTTGACATTTTAGAAGATTCCCTCGTCATTTAAACTTTCTATAGTTTTAAGTAAATTTTTAAAAATAATTCATATCAATGAGAATAGCTCCAATTCTAGAGATATTGGAAAGTTCATCGCATATTAGGCGAATAGAAAAGCTTTTTTCCTGAATTCAAACCGAAACAGCGGTCGCTGAGTTATAAGTTACCGTGATCGAGCACAACTTTTCATGTTACGAATAATTACCACAGCCTTCCTATTATGTAATCAAATATTAATAATCAGTCAAGTGTTAATATTTTAGCTATATAATAATGATCTGTATTTTATGTTGACTCTATATCGTCTATTTAATCATCCGTAGCAATGACAGTCTTTCGTTGTCACAATATACAGGTACGACAATAATGAATGCATCTATCCGATTCATAATTTCGAGAAAGCTATTCTAAACAGAAAAACATAAACAGTTTCATAAGTCTTGATAAAATGTTGCTCTTTTTATCAACCCCGTCACTCTCAAGTAAAAAACATTTTTTGAATCTGGCCTATTGCGCTATAGATAGACTCAATAGAACTTTTACAATTTAAAATTCGTACTGTAAATTATGACAAAGCTTTAAAAAAAAGAGATAAATAAAACTTCTTACATACTATAACTACAGGTTTTCTACATGTAACAGTAGCAGTATTCCATGCATAACTCAATGCTTTCCTATTCCATCCATCTGATAGTGTTTTTTGTTCACTCTAAAGATTTAAAAAAACAATTAACTTTGTTTTGTTCATATTTCATCTCGAACTTACTGCCGGTTTTGCTACGTCAAAAAAGAAAAATACTGCATTAACCCATACGGCTATCCATAGAATTGCCATAAAAAGACCCGGAGCATTATGTACTGTTATACTAATACCAGCAAAGTCAAAGCTCATGAATTTAAAAGCAATCGTAAAACATGGACCAATAAAAAGACCGATTTGACGACAAGCTAAACAGCAAAACTTGTTTTGCTTTTTAAAACTCTTTCTTTTTGTATTATTACCTAGTATTTTCGCTAGAAGTTGTGTTCGTGTTTCTGGCGTTGATCTTCTTGAGATTTCGGCTAATATTGGTGGCTAAAAAATGCAAACCTAAAAGAAAGCAAATCGTTTTTTCCAAATGTAACTTCCTACCACTAGACCAAGTCCTATACCGGCAACCACTCGACCTATAATAACAAGATAAAAACTGATGCCAATGAAATAGAGTACATTTCCAATGATTTTAAATCCAACACCGATTAAAACAAGTTTTTTCATCGAAAAACCAATGTCACTTAAATGTCCAAATACTAAACCAGCAATAGCACCTGAAAGTGCGAAACCCGATAGCAGCGCACCCATGACAATTCCTACAGCGTGCAGATCCGTAAATGTTTTAAGATAACCCCAAGCTGTTGGCAAAATGATAGCATAATCAACACCTAGAGGGGGAAAAAGCATTTATATTCAAATTGCTTTTTGAAGTTACATACCGGTTAAAAAAGCAACAGCACCAATAATCAATAGGGTTGATATTCGTTGTCGACGTTGTACTGGTGTTGATTCACTTTTATCAGAACTTCGAGGACTATCATTGGGTGTGTGTGGATTCTGGTCGTTGGATTTCATTGGGATCGAATAGGGAGGAGAAGGAGAACGTCGCTCTTTCGACGTTGCATCATTATCTTTTGCTAATAGATTGCCACTAGGTGATTCTAATGTAGACTGTGGAGAGTTTACATCATTGATACTCATAATAAATCAAAATAAACGATTTCTAGAACAAAAAACAAATAATAACATGTTTTGTTTTTATTATACAGTTGATTCACGTTTTTTTCAAGCGTACGATTCACGAAGATTGTTTTACTCTATAAGCGTACAAGTTTTAGTCAAAGAAAAAAAACATGCCTAAACAAATATATATTTTTAATTATAATTAAAAGGAAATGTATCCTATTTATTCATAGCAACAGTTAAGTTCTATCAATGTGATCTGCTGTCGTGTAAATTGAAATCACAGAAAACACAATTGGAATTAAGAAACAATTAGAGCTGCAAAATCTCATAAGATAAAATAGAAACAAATATCAGACGATATTTTAGAATGGCGAACACAACCTGTACGTCTGTCAGATGATAAAATAACAAGAAGAGATGGTCTGGCCTTTTCTTTTCATCGTTCAACCGAATCATAATTGCGGTGGTAGTGAAAGAGTATGGAGACAAAATAGCATTTTTTTACATATGCATTTTACAATATTTTTCTTGTTCTACGTGTATTATCACCGCGTTGAATGCCGGTGATGCGTGACATTCTACACATAAAGGAATGCATACAAACATCGACGAATAACGAATGCATTTGTCGCATCGAAGGAAAAAAGTTAAAAGAAACTGCAAGTAGATAGAAAGAATCACTTGTAATCCTTGTAGATGCAGATAATAAACGCTACGAATCTATTGTTTGATTTGATGAGACAGGTTTTCTCATGCGTACATTTATTGCATAAATTTAAACATAATCAAAATCGATAGAAGAAGCAAAATACTTCTATTTTCTCTTGTCAATGGCAAGAATGGAACCATAATTGTTTTCGTTCCTTCTTTTTTATTGCTCTTACACATAGCGAGAGTGCTTTGAATTAACAAAATAGATATTCATAAGATTCTTGAATGATAAAAACTTACGCATTGGTTTCTATTGAATCAAATTCAGATCGAATAGACATAGAATAACGAGGGTGTCTCAATCAACGAAAATAATTGTATAATTGAATAAAAATTGATTGTAAGCGTTTCTCTGTATAAATGTACCTTTTTTGTGTGTATTAAAGTTAATCAAACTTTTACAGTGTCAGAAATTTTAGATTTATTTATTCTATTATACTCAAGGTTTGCTTGTGATAAAAAATTAGTAATACTATACAAATTAATATATTTATCTAAGTTTAATTGTCGAGTGTATAATAAAAACCAACTGTCATTTAATTAACACAAGCTATGAAGAAGAAGAAGAAGAAAAAACAGTTTACATCGTCAAGTTAGAAATTTTCAATGAAAATAATTTAATTATATGGAATAAATTGGTATGTTGGTGCAAGGTGTGTGTGTGCATCGATCGGGAACGAGAAAAAAAATGAAAGAATAATCATTTCATATGAACGGAGAAAAAAGTACACAGGTGATTACAGTAAAGTTTGACAACTTGTTTGTAGGGATTACATTCACTTAAATTAAGCTTTAAATAATAAGAAAATGTAAACGTGAATAATTGAATTTCTAACATACCTATCTAGGAAACAATCGAAGTTCCATTTTTATCAAAGTTAGAAAACAAATAATCATCTAATGTCTAGGCCAATCATATAAAGTTTAGTTTAAATATAATGAGCACAATCAATTTAAGTCAACAACAATACTGGGGAAAATACTTCATTCATATCCAAACTATGGCTTAATGTTGCTCGACACACGTACCCAAACAATCATTTATGAGTATAGAATTTCGATAGTATTCTGAAGTAAGATCCAAACACAAGAGAATTTTATCAGTTTCTTTTTGAATTCATTTCTCGCACCCATGAACTTATGGATGGCCAGCGTAAATTATGAATTTAAGAAATAACATCAGATGAGCTGCGAAAGCCAAGCATGTTAAAAAATGTCGTATTAATCTCATCAGTCGAATTATGCGATGAGTCAACAGTTGATCGGATTCATAAATTGTTGTAAAAAAGTTTGACGAGTAGAGAGAATTCACCAAGAATAAATTACATTTAGATTTACAAGCAAAAGCAAATTGTTGCTCAAATCAATCAAAGAATGTAAAGGAAGCCATAAGATCACATTTGAACATGTACAGATCATTAGAGGAAGGTGAAGGTTCGTTATATCTCCAAAAATAAATTATTGAAATCAAAATTTCTGAATAGCCTACTGTTGATGATGTAAAATACTGGCGTAATCAAAGTTTTATTTCTCGGATACATCTAATGCTTTCCGATTCATACAGAGAATTAATCCACAGACTAAACTCAAGTGTTCAATGTACATTGTGTTCATACATCTCTACATTGTATTCGTATGCGTTCAGATGGAAACATCTTTCTTCCTGAAATTCACCCAGTAGCATTCACTAGCCGATGAATGTATGACTAATTCATTTACACATTTTTAATATATTTTAGAAACTGGATTCTTTCAGAGTGACTACAGAGGGAAGGAAATGTATTTTTGTTATTCATGGCATGATTAATATACGGTGTCTTTAATGTTTTTACACCGATAGCCATTACTAAAAAATATTTTCTACTCCTTCTGTACACGCATCACTTAAATTGAAGATCATGATACATTTTTTCTCCAATATTTAACCGATTATACATGAGGACAGATTATGTTTTAGTAATTTCTACTTGAATTCAATTAATATTCAAAGTCCCGATATTTTCAAATCCATTATTTAGTCTATTCAATATTTGTGCTTAATATCCGAAACCTTAAAAGTACAACAGAAATTATTGTTTAATAGAATAATAAAAACTTTATTGTGTATTTATGTACATTTCAAAAGTGAAGAACTATTCATACAAAACGCTTTTATGGGTTTATCGTTACGATAAATCAAATGTATTTACAACCAAAGCATGAGTTCACGATCAGTTAATATTGGTGAGTGTTCATCTCTAATATGTAAACAATCTTCACTTGATCAAATCCGGTGTTTTGAAAAAAGGACCAAATTTTTACGCTAGTTTTTACAATCGACTGTCACTTAAATTATGAACATCGTCATATTATATAGTTCAATAGATGTTAGATTTCTATTTATATTGCATCTACAAAAGATTATGTTATGATATCAGACATATAAATATAGATTTTTGTTCAGAATTGTATATTCTTATGTGTGATTATGTCGATAGATGATATATATGTAGAACGTGAACGTGGTGAAACGTTGTGTTTAGTATTAAAACAAAGTCCTGACGCTATCAACATGTTCAATACTATGAATGTTATACACTTCAATTCAACAAAAATAATCTTATAGACAAGCATTTATTATTATCACCAAGGGGGGGGGGGACGGATCCTGATGGATTTTGGTGGATCCTACTGGATCCTGTTGCTCCTAATAAAGGGTATTAGATTGCACAATAGATTAACTAGAGTGTACGGAAATATATTAAAAGCTGCTTCAATCTACTAAATACGTCGGAGTCTACCACAATGCACCAAAAACTGATTCGCTTTACAGCAATCTTCAAACAATGTAAACACATGGATCCTGCTGGATTAGGGGTGTGCAGCTCACGGTCATGAGTGCTGATAAGCGTGAGCGTTTCTTCTCCAAATAAAATATGCAAGAAATCGGTAATAATGAACCCACTTGAGCTATATTCATATAAAAATACATTAGTATTTCATACAGTTTCTTATCTAATATATTCAATCGATGCATCTAAATACTTGTTACTCGATGAATTGACAATAAGCGCTAGAATAGGCTCATTAAAGTTTTGAAAAGCATAGTTTCCGAATATTTGTTTCTTAAGTTCGTTCAGCTTACTACCGCAAACTACCAAGGAACAAAGCTAGGATCTTATTATGTATGTCTAGTAGGAGAGTACATTACTATTACCAGTAATAAGTAATAACTGTTATTTCGAATTAATAGTACTAACTAAAAGCCAAGAAAATTAATAAAGTAATAAGGAAGAAATAAAGCAATAAAGAACTTGATCCTGGAATCACTTCTATTTATCAATATATTTCTACTTTCTCACCACTAGGACTACAACAGCTCTCGGATAGTAGTTCAGATCAAATGAACGAAAGAACTGCTGAAACAGTTCTATTCACTGATTTGTCCACAATCGCTAGATTACTTGCATTCAATCACTAGTATTATTTGGGCCGTAATTCAGGGTAACCCATTCGAGCCCTTAGGTCCTATCTAGATGTGATCCCTGTGACTTTTGCATCCTATCTGTAGGTGGTCCCTGTAAATGTTTTGGATTTACACTGGAACGGTTCCTTTAGTCATTTGAGATCTACTTTAGGGTTGTCCTTATGAATTTTTCGAGTCCGCTAAGAATAGTACTTCAAGTTTGAAGATATCACTGCTGGACAGAGTGACACGTTAAAGGGACAATGCTTATATGGGATTGAAAAAGTTACAGAAACTGCTAATAGTTACGAATAGGGTTGTGCCCAGACCGAGACTTTCCATCTCCGTCTCAGTTGTCGTGGTCAAGGTTTTGGTCTCGCTCTCTCTCTCACTTGCTCGCGGTTAGCCTCGGTTCCAGAGAGATGTCATAATATCCACAACTTGGGTATCGAGATGATTACCCAGATAGGATACCCAGTTGGATGGACATCTACGTATCCTCAGAGCTGAGGAATTTGAGTGCATTTGGTGTAACGAGATTGGGTACCGGAAATTTTCCCACTGTCAGGTCCTACTTCAAACAAATTAATATAAGCCACAATTCAAATAACATGCATGTGACGATCCACAACAACGCCAACTACACAGCATGCTACAGTTTCAACCCGATTTCCTTGAGTGATTTTGATGAAAGTCGTAATAAATTGTTATCAGGTAAAAATGAAGTTCTTCAACGAACATTTACTTGGAATTGCACGCTATCTGCAATGCTCATTAAACAAATCTGTACATATCGATAAAGATTGCCATAAAGCTGACTACATGAATACAATAAATTTTAACATAGCATCACGTTTTC